CCCCAACCCCATGAGAAAGCCTCGCTCACTGAGGAGGGTTACGGGTCCCACTGGCCTGCCTTACCTTCCCAAGCCACGGTGACCGTGGGCCTTCCTATCTTAGAAGAGGGGCAGGGTGAGAAGTCTCAGGAATGACAAGCGGGTCTTAGATCCCGGGAGACAGCCAGTCATGGCTGACATGTTCAGGGTTCCTTGGCTTTCCTTGCTAAGTTGTTCATTCTCCCCTCGTTTTAGTTCTTTTGGAAAATCTCGGGCTGTGTCACCTAGAGGCGCCAGGCCGAGTGCAGCCAGGGCGTGTGCTGTGGGGCAGCGTCCCCCGAGGGCCAGGAAGGGACTCTGAGTGAGCCTCGGGACTCAGAACTGAGCTGAAATCCAGGCCTTCGCCCCTATGGTGTTCATCTGGTCAAGTCCCGTGACCCGCGTTTGTTTGAGCACGGACACAGTGCTGTTGGCCTTCTAGACGGAAACCCACCCCAGCTGCCCCTGCCTCCCTTCCCGCTTGTGCAGAAGCCCGGTTCCGCTCAAACCGAAGACCTGTGAGGACTTGGTCTTTCTTACCAGGAGCCTTCCCTGACCAACCCAGGGACGGCTATCCTTTGGTGACAGCACGCGTTCAATGACTGCGTCAAGACTGCCCTCCTGGATGGCATCCTATGCTTCCCCACGGTGCTCCTGGCACCCAGCACAGGCCTGGTATACAGTCGGTGCTCAATAAATGATGGCTGGGTGAATGCATGGAGGGCAGAATACATGCACGATGGGAAAAATGAACTAATAGCTTTCTTCCCAAATCAATTTGCAAAGATGCTGTATGTGGAAGGCTCGCCTCCCGGTCTCTTGTGCACGGAAGTGTTGATGGGAGAGGGAACCGTGGGCTCTGACTCAGGGCCTGGCTCCCACAGGCTCCCTGCCGGCCTCGGCCAGGGCCTAGGGCAACAGAGACTTGGGCTGGAGTTCATATTTCTGCACGCTATCAAGCTTCTGGAAAATGAGGGCAGCAAGTGGGAAAATGTGGAGCAGTGGACATGTACAATGTATTCTTCCCATCTATCTAATTATCATCTATCCACCCCCCACCCCCCACCTGGCTACCTGGCTGCACTGGTCTCTAAAGTTGTCTCAGGTCATTTGTCAGCCACCCATGCTTCTCATGGTTTTTTCCCTCCTGAGAGCAGATCCAGGAAAGGCTGGTCACCCAACAGCCATAGGACGGACCTCAGCTAACCGGCCTGTGGGTGGGCATTGCTCAGATGCCAGTTACAGAGAGAAAGCGTCTTGTGCTGAGTGTCAGGAACCGGGTTTGCGTCCCAGCTGGCTGACCCTGGGCAAGCCACTTCCTCCCTGCAGGTGGTTTCCCCAGCAGCTAAGGAGGGGGTTCTGCCCCCATTTCCCTCCTCTCACCTCCCAATATCCCTCTGGGACTCACGTTTACCTTCCCCGAGGTCTAGATGGCTACCGCAGGCAGCCGCCGGGAGGCCCACAGCGCTGCGAGCAGCGGCGAGAGGCAGAGAGGGATGAAGGGCAGGTTTTCCTAAAGACGAGAAGTCTGACTGCAAGGATGTTTGTCAAGTTCCCTTGATGGTCTCTTAGAAGCCCTGGAGCTTCCGGAAACCACTCAACTGGTGATGAGAATTCTCTTTAGGCCTGAGAACAGCAGAGGCAGGCGGCAAGGATGGGGAACCACTGCTGTCCTCGCCTGTTAGGCAGAAATGGGGCTCCTCCTGCCCACGGGCTCTCCTTGGGCTTCTGGGGCCTCAAAAAGCTGCTTGCTACAGAGAATATCTAGTCCAAGCTGGGAGCAGTAGTGATTTTGATGAGAAAGTAAAGCGCTTGGGCCATGCTCCTAGCTGGCGCCTAATGCGGGCTGTGGGCTCTGATATCATGAGAGGGCCCTGGCCAGCTCGCCCCAGCCCACCCCAGGCCACCAGGAGGCCCTGACAGGCCCACAGCCTCGGCCTCGGCCTGGCTGAGCACGGGGCTGAGAGTAAGCTCTGGGTTTCGCTCCTCTGTCCGGAAGCCTCCGAGGCCCCCTCTGTAGCCTGGGTCCACATTTTTCAAAGCCATTTTCCGTGAAACAGCGTTTCTCCTCCTGTGTTCGCTATTGCATCTCAATGCTAGAAGAAAAATGGCACATGACACATCCAGACACAAATGGACATTTCCACAAACATCTTGGGAAACCACATGGAGAAATGGCGCCTTTCTCCGAGCACTTAAGCCAGCTGCACCCCCAGCCCCACCCACTGCCCAGGAGCCTGTGCCGCCCGGAGCAGCCTCCTTTGTAGACCCGAGCTGGTTGCTATGGTCAGTAACATTTGGACACATTTTTCGAAGCATGTAATAACAAAATGAGTATTTTTTTTGTTTGTTTTTTTGTTTGTTTTTGGATTTGAACAACAGAAATAAAGCCCCAAAGCAAATAAAGTTTGAAATGTGATGTGAATCCTGGTCCTGGGACCGTGCGAGAGTGACCATGTCTCTCAGGAAGCGGTGCAAATGCCCTTTCCAAGCAGTTTGGGGTGAGGGTGAGCAGGGACGCATCGGACCAGAGGTGACAGCAATGAGGTAGCACCCAAGCTGGTTGCCTTTTGACCCCTTGAGGTGCTTTTTGATAGAAACTTTGTAAAAAGCACGGTTTTGGAATTTTAAAAGGACTTAGACAATCTTCTTAACTTTGAGTAAAAAAAAAACACACCAAAACACAACAAAAATGTTATTTGTAGCAGGTTCTTTTCAGAGCTCGTGGTGCCCCCGAGCCAGAAAGAATGGAGAAATTCCCT